AAATAAAACCATCAACTTTATTATAAATAATATGCATTTACTCCATTAAAACAAGCAAAATCCTGAAATTTGCCAATGTGAAATACAAAAACAGATGTGGCTACAGAATGTAGTGTCTTAGTCTCAAGTCTGCTATACATGACTAGAGTTTTGTCCGATCGCTGCTGAATCAGCTGACATTTAAGCTGTGGGTGGCCCTGTCAGCACCACCCTGCTCTATAAAAGTCAATTAAAAAAATTAAGAATCTGCCTGGAAAATTGGCAGTTGAATAGTGATTACACCCTCTCAGATGCAGTCAGTGTTCAGGTATTCAAGTAGCCACAGGTGCCAGCAGCTTTCTGAATACAATAGCCAAAGAAAAGGTTTTAAGTGAGGAACTGGACACAGATTCTTGTCCAATAGAAAAAAATATATTATTTGAGCCTATAGCTTGTGTGTGTCAGCTCTACAAATCTAGGGGTCTCAAAGGGAAGGTAGGGTTTTCCAAATTTGAGAAGTCCAGGTTGTCGTTGAGCCAATAAGAGTACCACACAAATGTCTTAAGAATCCAAAGTTAAGAGGAAAGCAAAAAATTCCTCCTTTATCAGGGCTTAAAAACTATAATATTGTATGTACGCAATATTTTTTCTGCCGCTAATACTGGCCTGATCAGTTTCCGACTTGGCACCTTTAGATCAACAAATATAGGTTTATATAGTCAGGAGATTTTATATTTGATTCCAATAAACATTTTGATATACTGTCTAAGCCCAGATGAAGGGGGGTCCCTGAAACACTTGGGCTGCTTCTTTCTTTCTTTAGAAGTAATAAAAGACATTGAACTCTTGAGATGTTTGTTTGGTGCTCTTATTGGCTCATCCACACGTGAATACAATAGCAGGCAGTGCAGATTCCTCCTTCCATGTTGTTTCGAATGGATGGGGGATTTAAATGATTTATCTTGTTCAGTCTGTGGGTTAGAATGAGAGAACTCTACACATTTATGGCTAGCCTTAGTCAAGTGTTCTCTATGAATATCCAATTATAACAAATAGGAACTGCACATGATTGGGCATCCAAATCAAACACAATCTTGTTAAGCTAAGCAAAAATATCAGTTAACGCCTATGCACACTGACAGCCAACAAAAACTTCTCTAGAAGTTGCTGCACTTTAAACTTTCCTATAACAATGAGCACATTTGGTAATTTCTTATCAAACTTAATGTAAAATATTTGTCAGAAAGGTGGAGTTAAGACACAATGTTATAAAGAAAGCGTTTACATTGGTAGCAATACTAACAAAAAGAAGAGGAAGAAAATAAAAATAAAACGGCTTTAGGTTATGAACATTTATAAAACTTGCATAGGCTGTAAAACAGCCAATTTGTATCCATGTTTTTTTAAATAAATTACTATTTTGTTTTCTAGTACTAATAAATTAGCAAAAGTGTGTTTTTGTGTTTGTTAATAACTTTCACAGGTTGTAAAACAGCCAATTTGTATCTATGTTTTTTTTAAATAAATTACAATTTAGTTTTGTAGTACTAATTAGCAAATGTGTGTTTTTGTGTTTTTTAAGAAGCTGTATTTATTCTGCATTGTAAATTACCCAAAGTGAATAGTGCACAAAAACAAATACATATATGGACATATCTAATTTGTTTTGTGAAAAAAGCTTATAGTGCAAGCTATTTATTAATGTGTTTTATTCCTGTAGATATTATACAGGAATAAACACAATTATGCAGCATTACTACCACTGCAGCAAAACGTGTAAATGTGTCAACATATGCACATTTTAAATTAAAATGTTAACTAAAGCTTATTACTGCAGAGAATCTAGAAAAGATTTGTTGTTATACATATTACCTATTTATACCAATGTCCATTTAAGTGTCACAAGTATAACCCACTTAAAATATTTAGTACATGCAAGAATCTGCTTTTTAGAAACATTTTTGGCAATACAAAACAGAGATTTTATGACACAAAAAAACATATTAAAGCTGATTTATGGTCTTCAGGAAAATCTGGATATCAAAAGGCTTGTCTCCCACCGACAGCCACAGCCATAGATAATGGATGTCAGTGTCCATGATCTACATACATTATATACAGCCCAAACTACTCTGCCAAGAGTCTCACTGACAACCCCTGCCTTTGGTTTCAGAACATTGTATTACTTTTTTAAAGCAGGAGTAAATACTCAGCATTCTTGCCCACTATGACATACTTACTTGGTCTGCTCTCCTCCATCTGTGAGATCAGAGCTCCCTGCATTCTCTCCATCTCCACCGGTGCCATGTTACCCTGTTCTTCTTGCTTTGCCCATTGGGCAGACACTGCTGAATATATCTCCCATGTCTGCACACTGAAGTTACAGTTATCTCTGCACCTGGCTCTGTTCCCTGGATCTGCAAAATGACGGACTGTACACTGTACTGCACTTGTGCGGCAATCAGTGTACAATTTAAAAAAAATTGCTAGCAGATAAATAAAGAAGTTTTTTGGCAGAAGAGACTTATAAAGTTTGTTCTACCAAAAGACCCAACTCTTTAATTGGTGAGCAGCCTGTACGTTTGATAGAAGTAATTTTATACACATCAGGCTTGTATAATCTATAGAATAAATCATCATTTGAGCTTCTAGAAAAAATTACCAGGGAAAAAAGTTTACACACAAACATGCCTATAAAGAGCATAGTTGCTGGCTGCTTATTTATGCTGCAATAAAATGATAAGTCACTGTAAAATTTGCAATGTTAGAAACAAATATGAAATTGACAGACTAGCATTCAAGATTACATTAAGCTATTTCATACAGTGATAAGCTTTAAAACAAAGCAACACATTTAGGACTGTAAATTTTTAACCTTTTTTGTTTTCTAAACAATCTGTAACTGTATAATGGCACAAGAGAGCTATTAGTAACTCATATGCACACCACTTGATCTTGCCTCAATATGCTGGGTATAACAATGTATGTATTTTCTACATTAGACTTATAAGTATCTTAAATGTTTTTTCCAACCAGCTGAAACTTTTTTTGCACTTTCTTGTACAAGTTTTTTCTTAACTTGATAAAACAAGGTAATTTCTTTAGAAACCACATCAAACTGTTTAGTATATACAGAGGCATAGCCAGCTAAAATAATATGTACATTTTTACTTTTTCAGTAATAATTAAACTTGAACCTCCCAAACCTAACAAGCCTCTTTACTGGTCCTTTAAAATGTGGCTTCAGTGAGTAATAGGCTCGGAAGCTTAGAGGGGATAATAGAAGTTCAGCTTGCCTTTAGCTGTCTATAACTTTGTGGTTTCACTGAAGGTAACCTTTGCGTATGTGTTTTTTTACTGTATGCTCCATTAGACTTGGGTCTAATTAGGTCCTAATCAAATGGCTGCCATAGGACACAGTATTTAACACATTTAAATACTACAGTTCTCATTACTTTAAGCGAACTCCAGGCAGATTTAAAAATACATATATGAATGAAGTTCTGTGTTAATTAAGACAACAATAAATTTGATTTTAAAAATGCAAATTGTGTAAGTACTTGAATTTGAACACAGAACATTGAGATATCCTGCTCTGCTAGAAAGGACTATACTGGTTGGCAGAGCTGTGAATATATCAGAACTAGATGGACAGAAATACAAATCCTTTGAAATGTAGTTCATCAGTGTATTTGGCTGTTTGCCTGGAATTCAGCTTTAAAAAAACATTTTAAATCAGCTATTCCAAAGTGAAATACTATTGAAAGTACGAACAGGAGAAGTAAGCAAGTACATACATTTTGTATTTTCCAATACACAAAAACCCCATTATCACTTTATGAACCAAACAAAATCCTTATTTTACATAACATACACAAATAAAAGGAAATAATAACATACACAAATAAAAGGAGTGCTATGTTTTACATTTAACACAATTCAAAGTGTAAAAAACAAAAATATGACAAAAGAAATCTAAAGTCTACCAATCCATAAACTACCAATGATTTGATTAACTTATTTTGAAGCCATTGCATTAAGTGCATTATTATTTTAAGAAAGCATAGTGTAATGATTTGGGTGACAAGTAACAATTGGAAGACATTGTGTTGAAATTCAGAAACAATATATATTTATATATATATTATAATGTATATTTGAGTGAAAAATAATTATAAATTCTACCAAATGCACTGTATACAACATTTAAAATATGTAAGTCATTATTTTAAAACATCACATGGTGACCATATTTTATCTTGCAATATAACAAACTATTACAAAGGACAAGAATGAATTAACATTTTTATCGTTTGGCTTTTGATATGAACAATACAGGCACTCTTCTGAGAGCTGGCAATACAATATGGCTATATGCAGCTGCTATTGTCCACTGTAGTTTCCCAAGTCCATGAAATGGTTGCTTTGCGCTCTAAAATACTAAGGACTTAAGTCAAGGTATATTGGAGAATGTTCACCTTCCTAGATTGATTTTATGCCATTTGCCTCAAAAAAAAAAAATTCTTGCATTTATAATGTAGGAAATGTTTAGTCACAAAATGGTGGAGTAAGGAATGGGGGTTCAACCAGAAACATATGACAAATGTCTATGGAGTCTGCTGGTCAGGCCAATCCTTTTAGGAAAAAAAAGAGCTTTGATGCAGGCAAACACAAATCCCACAGAATGTTATGGCAGATGTTTGTAAATATCACAAACCGCAACATGGCAGAAAAGCAAGCAAAACAACAGTTGAAAAGGGTCAACACATGACAGAACATGATCGTTTGCCAATTTATCAATGTTTTATAACTTTTCAGAGGTATAACTATACTTTTTTGATCTAGACATTCCATGTGTGCTCTTCGCAGCGCTAAGGATTACAAAAGATTGTGCCGTTGAAGGTTTCATTTCTCTTTGCAGTTTAAAGGAGCACCAATAGCTGCAGATATCTTGAAATCAGAATCTAGGATAGGTATGACGTTATTGGGCAAATATACCCAACAGAAGTTAATGGCCCCATTTTTTTCCATGAAACAGTTGTTCCTTATAAGCTTCTCTGGCTATTGGTATGCAACTCTGTTTTTTGCATTTCTTATTGCTTCCATCTTTTATACTGGCCTCCTTCCTGTTCATTTTATAATTATATTTTGCTCTTACACTTACAGTATTTACAATATGCATTATTCACAAACCAACTACAAGGAATATTTAGTACATAGGAAAAAAAAGTAACGCAACACCAGTAGCTGAAATGTATCCTTCAATATATGCTACATGTTGCATACTGGGACTTACAAAGAAGCCACATTGAAGGTCCAGAACACAAAAATGCAGAAATGGCTGCCTGTTATAAATTCGATATGTCTTCAGGAAAATGATGCATTGTCCTTCTAGGTGAGTTTTATGTCATGCAAAGTTCATTTCAAACAAGTCTAATCATAACCATTCAAATTGTATCTGAAGATGACTTGTGGTGATGAGGATGATGCTGTTTCATGCGAGGCCCTGTAAGGAAAAACAGTAAAAACAGTAAATGTGAATTCTTGCACACATCGCTAAACAAAAAGGTGGTATATTAATATTACAGTGATGTAAAACATTTTGCACATGATTTATCAAACTGCCAAAGCACTTAGGGTATGCTAACATTAACTCTAAAAAAAAAGCAAAATATTACTTAACTGAATACAACTTTTGAAAATCCTAAATGATTCATATTACACCTATATTCAGCTATGTGCTTTACCAATGTGCTCTGTGCTCTGCTAGCTTTGGGACTCTGAAACCAGCAGAGCACAATAAAAATGAATGGAGATGTAACAAAAAAAAACAAAGAGAGAGAGGAGAGCCTGGTCATATGACCTGTCAAAGTTGCATGAGTTGCTCTCCTAATTATGAAGTAATCAGAGATAACTCTATGGAGCTGCATGGGCTACACACCAAGGCCTGATTTTTATGAATGGGTGGGCTGTGCTGTGTGTAGCAAAGCACAGTATAATGAAGAGCAGAAACATATATTCAATCTCTTTCATAAATGAACCCCTTACAGGATATTTAATTAACATGTACTAATACTGCAGTAACTAGGACAATATAAAGGTTTGGAAGACAAATGTTTAATCCCAAAAACTGTGCAATGGATATGATACATGAGCTGAGGATTAAAGTCAACTTTACGGATACAATAGGATTCTTTATGGCAAGGGCAGTTAACCTGTGAAATGCTCTATCACCAGTGACAGTAATGGCAAAAACATTGGGGTCTATTCACTAAGCTGCCGAAGGATCTAGCCGTAGCTTCGGATGATCCTTCGGCTAGCGTCGGCCCCAGGACCCCTTCGGTTCAATAGAACCGAAGGGCTGCTGTACGGGCTATTCACTATAGCTCATACAGCTCCCGAAGCCGGCCGAGCAGCTCAGTTGAGCCGAAGGCATATGCTTCGGCACGACTGAGCCGAGGTGAAAGCCGAAGCTGGCCGAACGGCCAGCCATTGGCCGGCTGACAGCCTGTCACCTACTGCTGGGCGGAGCCAGCCGTCATCTTTTACGCCACTTGCACAGATAGATCAGCGTCCCTGGTTACCAGGTAACTAGGGGCATTGATCTCCAAACAGCCCAACACTCCCGGGTGCTCCCGCTATCAGATAGCGACTCCCACCCGCCCTGGAGAGAAACACTTTCTCCCAGAAAGGTTTACTCTGCTCATTCGAGCAGAGTAAACCTTTCCCTGCTCTGTTTTTTTTCTCTTCCAACATCAAGCCGTTGGCTGCCGTCAGAATAAAAAAAAAGAAAAAAAATCACAATAGGAATGCATAGCTACATTACTATTGGCTATTGCACCCGCCCACTGCTGCTGTCAATCAGGGGGGACCTGAAGTTCTCCATCAGGTCCCCTCTAGTGATTGACAGCAGCAGAGGGCGGGTTCAATAGCTAGTTTGCTATTGGCTATTGCAAAGTGAAATAGCCAATTGGAATCTAGCTATGCATTTCTATGGTGATTTTCTTTTTATTCTGGGGGCAGCAAAACCGGCTGAGTCGAACTCCTTCTGCACTTTGGGTCGCCCGAAGCCACCCGATGTACAGCTGATTTCACCCGATGTACGGCTGGAATCAGCTGTACCAGCCTGAAGTGAATAGCCGAACAGAGCTCACTTCGCTTTGGGTCGGTTAGTCACTCAGCTGCCTACGGCAGCTTAGTGAATAGACCCTTATTAATGCAATTATAAAATGTGTGGAATTATTATCGTTTATTAGCCACGTGTATAATTACTAAACTATAGTTTGGACATATTATGATTCAGGGAACTGATCCTATTCCTTGTGGGGTCAGAAGTTTTTTTTTCTTATGAAGGTAAAATTAATGGGTAATACTTGTCTGTAAAATAGAATATATTCTATAGCAGTGGTAGAATAATATAGTTGTATGTCAGATATACAGTGAAAGAGGTATCGTTTTTAGCTAAACAAAATAAATACATACAAGTAAGCCATTTTAGCTGCTAAAGAATTTCTGTCTAACCATTCCTGAGATTTACACAGCCCTCACACACACACCACAGCTAGGTGTATTCACTTACTGTGGAACACAGTGTTGTCCTCTCTCTACCCCAGCCTGTGAATTGTACTATTACCATACTGGTGAGGTCCTCAGTCTGTTCCTGACAACATATTTGCATGCAGCACACCTGATTGGCTCACAGTCCTGCCCCTCTCCCTCCCGGGGGATAAGTGCTGATTTACATGGAGTTACAAAAAGCTCATACAAAGTAAAATTCAAGCACTTACACTAGAGAAATAAATAAGTTTAGTGATCTATGAATCACTAATATATCTACTTGGAGTTTGTAAAGCTACCCATATAATTGATCTCACAATAGTAGAAAACAAACAAGGTACTGCAAAGGAAGGAAAGATTAAAGGTGGCTCTTAGTATCAATCATTCCTGCTTGGTTGCACAGTGCACTCCTTACCCTGCAAAGAATGTAAACTGAGGGAAGAATGTAACAACAAACACAGTTTTGGTCTTAATTGCCAATTACAGCACTGTTTTTATGCAGCTGTGCATGATAATGGTACATCCATTCCCTGCTTACCAAACTGTTTGCGTTCTTTGACTATTTAGTGTTTTAACATTCCAAAAGGACTGAAATGTTTGTGAATTTCCTCTAGAAAACACAAAAAATGTAAAAGTGTGCCTTATTCAGAATTTGTAGGAATATAGACAAGACTTCACTTGTGTATAGCATGTAAAAACATGCAAAAAAACATGTAACAGTTCAGTGGATTAAATGAATCATATAGCTACACACTGCTGCCAAATTGAATCATGGCACAGTAAAATACAAATGTTATCAATGTCGAGACTGTCATCATAAAAGTGCAGAATAAGGATGAGTGTGCCAAATTCTTGTCATCCCCTTAATCATAAACATATAGGCATTTAGGTAGAAGCCCATATACACACACAGATGTAGAGCTGATGTAGAGAACCACAGTGAAACATTATAGCTGATAAGAGGAACCCCAGGCTGAAACAACACACGTAGCAAAATATCAGTCAAAGATGTAGTTACAATCTGAATTTTAATGAACATAATTTCATATAATTTCACCAAGAATTTGTTCCCAGAAGGATATAATACATGGAGTGTTATACACAAAGCTTTCAAACTGATTTACATAAATTCTTTAAAACAAAACCATTCTCCTTTTGAACAAGTTTACAGTGTAATGTCTCCATCACAGTCAATTTTTGGTGTCCAGCATTTAAACTAAAGCTGGGTATACATGGTTAGAATTTCGTACAGACGTTCATAACAGAAATTGACAGAACATTTGATAATGGCATTAGAGACTAAAGGACTGTTCAAAATTTTATTTGATTTTAACATCTGATTTAGGAATAAATGGATTTTCTTGAATGAAACCACATTAACTGCTAGAATTTCATCATTAAAATCCAATTGATTTTGGCCTCTACAGTTGAAATTGATTGCCATTTTAACCCTATTAACTATTAATAAATCTAATGACTGTCCTGAAAAATATTTGTATTCAATATTCTAATAGTGTATACCCACTGTTTTGTTGTTTGGAAGTGACTGGTGCACCTGAAGAACATGGAGATACTAAAGGATTTGAGGATGGTCACATCACAAATTGTGTGAATATTTACTTCAATGATGCAAGCATGAAATATGTACACAAGAATTTAATTTTTACCTGATTGGATAACTGAAGCGAATCTGCAAACATTTTATTGTGTGAACATTTGCAAAACCTTTAGTAAATCAGCTTAGTGTGCTCCAAGTGCATCAACTCTGGATAGATGGAAGACTAAGGGGGTTATTCACTTAACTGCCAAAGGCAGACGAGTGAATAACTGAGCCAAAGTGAACAGAGCCGATAGACGCTCGACTATTCACTCCGGCTCAGTATGTTCGGCTGTGCCGAAGTGCAACGGGACTTTGACTCATCAGATCCAACATCTGCATCTTGCATCCAACACCTTTCTCCATCCTTTGGCTGTAACTTTGGCTCAGTCGAGCCGAAGCATATGCCTTCGGCTCGGCTGCCTTTTGGCTGCGGTACGGCTATTGTGAATAGCCTTGTACAGCAGCCCTTCAGTTTGACTGAACCGAAGGGCTCAGGCAGCCAAAGGATCAGCGGAAGCTACGGCTGGATCCTTTGGCTCCATAGTGAATAACCCTCTAAGACTGACTAAAGACATTGAGAAATTGTTTACTTAGCAAGGTTTATGTTCTCTACTATGTTTACATGAATCAACCAATTGTGCTGGGAAAAAAGTTTTTTTTTCTTTTCTTTTTTTGCCACATGATTGATTCAAAGAGCCACAAGTAAAGGTTATTTGTTATCATTCACTTTTCAAAGTAAACATGTAATACACATTTTTGTTATAATTATAATACACAATTATAATACAATGCAGTGCACCAAATGTGTGAATCCAGCCTCATTTAGGCTGGATTCACACATTTGGTGCACTGCAGTGCCATTCATTCTAACATTCCTTATGAATAGCACTCCAATGCACCTGCATAGCAGTTCACCACAGAATAACACACTACCATGCATTGTGGTGCACTGTATTGCTAAACATTGTGTATGCACCTTTTTTTGTGCATATGGAAGCCCATTCAAATGAATGTGTTGTCTTAATGCAAAACACATTGACATGCGTCTTAATGGTGAATTAGTGAATTAATCCCATTGCCTTTGGTCATAATTGAACTCAGGACCATAATGCAAGACCATGGTGCAATATATGAAGCCATGTATTGATGAAAGTTAAAGTTTAGCTTTTACATATTTGTGATTTCAATTGAACCAGCCAAAGATGAGAAGTTTTCTGGCTTCTTGCTAATTGTTATTTGTCATGTTTCACTCTCCCTGTTTAATATGTTACAAAATAAATTACATTACCAATTATATTTATAAATAAAAAACATAACATTTGACATCAGAGTTCACCTACTATGAGGTAACGATGGAAGTACATCTGGTGTTCGGAAGGATTTTATTGTTGCTGGACCCTCTCCCCCTGTTGTTAATACTTGGACTTCTAATCGGTAGAGCATTGAAGGTCTAAGATTATGAACGGTCAAAACATAATGGTCCTGTAGGGGACAGACAGTTTATGTTAGAGAACTCAGTGCTTAAAATTAAAGCAGAACACACCCATTTCTGTCCCATCTGCTTCTGCCTCTGGTGCTTGGTGGAACACTGTGCTGCTCTTCCATTTTCTCCCTCTTCCCCTCTTCACTGTGTGCCTCCTAATATTCATTGAAGCAGGCCCACTTCCTGTTTGCAGATGCCCATTCTCCCATAACTGTCTTAAACATGCCCTCTGGGCTTCAGGGGATGTCAGTTATTACTGATGTGTTCTATGTGGTGCATATAACTTCCAAAGAGACTGTTTTATCAGGATAAAAAAAGTTACTGCAGACGTACCCTTCTGCACACTGAATCCTTGGACTCAGGAACTGCAGCAATACGTTAATGTGCTCTCTTTGTAAGAATACCGTGTTTTTTCTCAGTGAGTACAACTGACTTATCGTATTTGGTGAAAAGTCCAAGAAGTGTCTTTAAATGCAACTGTTTAGCAACAATTTTCTCTTTAGCTTATCAGTAAAATTACTTATTGCAATATTTAAGTATGCTGCATTTTTTTTACTTACACAGGTAAACAGTAAGGAATATGGAAGGGGAACTCAGACATGCTTATGCTGTACAGTGTGAACTGGACTGCAAACATACTGGGGGGAATTAATCAAAACCGGAGCAGCCAGGATCTGGGGTAGTTGCCCATGACAACTACCTTCAGTTTGCTCAGTTGAGATTTTAAAATGAGAGATAGAAGCTGATTAGTTGCAATTAAAATCTGCTCCAGTTTTGATAACCCCCCACCCCACCCACTGTATTTAACACACATCATCTGGTTTACTTTCTTTTACTGTACACATTTAAGTTAAAGTTGTGTGTATTAGCTTATGATGACTGCTAAATGGTAATCATTGTTATGATGGGTGATAGTGCATTAATATGCCGGATTCATATGACTCCTCCAACAGACCAGTGTGGAGCAAGATGAAGAGACCAAGGATCCTCATGTGACAACTCTTTTGCTCTTCATTTTAAGGTATACGATTTAAGATAAATGTTCATATATAGGAAAATTGCACAGCATTCAGACGGTAGGTGTTTACAAAGTTATTTTTAAATCATGTACACAGAGTCCTGGATTACAATTAGCCATACACATGTGTATACGGGAAAACAGTTGCACACAGAAAAGTGATGCATCTTACCGCCGGTAATATCTGAGACTGGGAAATTATACTGTTCGGTAAACTGTTTTGTCGGCTCTCTGTTGTGACTTCTGCCCATGTAACTTGGAATCCTGTCATAGGTTGGTGAAGATTTGCTTTGGAAAGTTTCCATGAAAAATGTCCAGTAATGTTTCCCTCCTCTACATTAAATGAAGCTGATAGATTCTCAGGTTTAGCCAACACTTTAGAGACAACTTGTCCTGTACAAGATAAAAAGTCCAAGAAGTGCCTCTGAATTTAAGTGTTAAGCAAGACCTTTCACTTTACAGTGTCAGTAAAATTATGTTTTATAATATTCAAGAAGCAAGACAAATTATTCTCTGATTCCTCATGTGAAATGCAAGAACTTTTCAGGAAATGTAAAGCAGTTGTAGCATTAGAATAATTATGTGCTGCAATCCCTCTAGTAGTAATTACAGTGTCATACACAAACAGCACAATTGTTCTATAAATATTGTTTTGTTGGTTTTGCTATTACATTGTTATTGTTTTATTTACCTGTGGATTAAATGCACAATACCCTTAGTCCAAGCCAACAACATTATGTCACTGCATGGAATAAATGAAAATGAGAGATTGGTAGATTTTGTCAAAAACCACTCCGCTTATCCACACCAGTACAACAGTCAAGTTAGTCGCCTATATGTCTTGAATGTGAGGGGGGCCCAGTGGACCTTCTCCTCTCTGAAGCATTTTCTGAGGTCCAAAACAGTAACACATGCCTACAATGTATTCAATTATGAATCAAAAAGCAACAAGCACACTCTTGAAGTTGAACTCCAGCTATAAAGATTTACATATACTTCCACTGGTGCAGCTCGGCAAAATGTAAGTATACATCATTTATGCCTGCTAGGGCCACAGAGATCCTGTAAAACACAGCTACTATTGTGTTTTACAGCAATCTTCCAGGTCCTGTAGTGCCACTGTGCTGAGCTACTTCCCCTCCGCTGTTAAAACACAGAGTGTCGCTCAAACTACACAGTAGCCATTCAGCAAACGTGTAGTATTTTTATCAATTCATACTAGGTATTCTTTGATTGGGGGGGGAGGGGTTGATGTCACAGCCACACACAGAGTTTTCAGCACCTCCATTGGGGAATTTTAATTAGCTGTAGTGCCACTGTGCTGAGCTACTTCCCCTCCGCAGTTAAAACACAGAGTGTCGCTCAATCTACACAGTAGCCATTTAGCAAACGTGTAGTATTTTTATCAATTCATACTAGGTATTCTTTGATTGGGGGGGGAGGGGTTGATGTCACAGCCACACACAGAGTTTTCAGCACCTCCATTGGGGAATTTTAATTAGCTTGATAATATTTACTTTTGCGAGAGCTACCTCTTTAATTTATGTACCGATAAATTGCTTTGTTTTTACCACACTATGCCAGTAAGCTCTTTATTTTGCTCTTTCTGAAGTTGGTAGCCACATGTTGTGTTACCACCTTGGAGGGCCATTTTAACCTCTCGTGCACTGACCTCGCTATTCAATGGTCAGTTTTACACTAGGATTAAACGCACAACTCTTTATTAGTGGGAAAATGCTGACCCATTTTCTACTGTGTGCCAGTATGTGATTATTTAATTAATGACTTCAAAAAATGGGTGTCTAAGATAATTACTAATACATTCATTTTGAATAAACTACCACAGTTTATTTTAAACTTGACACTATTTTACTTCACTTGCATTTCTTACTAGCTAAAGTTAAATCTGACATGTTTATGTGTTATGTAAACACATATTTGGACAGAATAATTTAAAAAAAAAAGATCAGTCTCATTCATTTATTTGCATGGTTTTGCCAATTTGCAATAATGAAATAAATTGTTTTGTAAAACGTAAAAACATAATAACACATTAACTTGTTTATCTTATCAAATTGTATTTTGTATTCAAGGGCAGATCTGCTGACCTAGTTTGTATGCAGTCTAAATACATTCAGTATGCTAATTTGAAGAAACCATGGAGGTACTTAATAAATAATGCATATAGAGACTGAGTTTATTTCAACTATGCATGAATATATAAACATCTACAGATGAAGATTTATAGTCTACACAGAGTTTAAAACAGGAGCAGTACACCATAACAACATTTTATGTTTATTAGAAACCCTAGTGTCTAATTTGGACACATGTAACTTTTGTCTACACCTTGACCCATGAACTTATGATAAAGGGAATGACCATTTTCTGCCAGTTTGCACAGCTTATAGATAAACCTCTTCTACCTCTTTTTCACCTTATTATGACAGTCTACACGCACAGTTATACCTAACCATGGTTCTTTCCCAAAAATAAGCTATATATCAATATATCCATTTATGGCTTTACTCAGTAAGCTATAGCAAATATGTATGCAATGTGAAATGTATATAGATTCTCCAATATGAAAATTTTTACATTTACCTTAAATCATGTTTATAACAATTTATACAAGGAGCAAATAGCGGATGTTAGCCTGACCCTTGGATGCAGCTGCATACTACCAGCTAAGTACAAGGTTCCCGCCACAATTATAAAGGCATATACGTTTCAAGAACATGTTAATGTTAGAGTTGTAGGACTGGGTTGTTCTTTTATGTATCCTTAGAAGGGTTTTGTTAAGTCCCAAAGTATTTTTTATTAAACATCACATTCCGTTAAACCCAACACTTTTCAGGGTTTCAAAGGGTCTACTTCCACCTTAAAGGGTTCACTTTGGCAAATGCTGCAGAAGGTAAACATACACTACACTGATATGTGTAGCATAATCCTGCAAGATATTTCAGTAGTTAAGCTGCCAAGCTAGGCCTTAAAACTCTTGGGGCATGTCTAAAAATAATTAAGGATGCACTAATTGCAATTCAACAAGCAGCATTTGCTCTAGCTATAAATATGTCCCACATTCATCAGGTGAAAAACAAAAATTTCCAGTGATTGGACAGTTATCTTTTAATTATATCTTTAAAAAAATTAAAATGTAAAATTCCCCCTTTCCAACACTATAAGCCTTTGACATGCAAAGAGAGGGTGCCAGCAAGAAGAGGCTTATATGTGCTTAATCAATTTCTTGCCTGTAGCAGCATTTCCTCAGGAACCAGGGTGTCAGTACACACCACCATCACATTGGCAGCTTTATCACAGAGAAACTGGTGCTCACACAAGTTTTGGGATAAAAAGTCTAGGAAGTCATTTTAAAACTAGGTCACTTGAAAGTAGCATGCAAGAATATTAGAGATACACTGGCCAACAGAATCCCTATAAATAAAAGTATATATTATTTAAATGTGTTCTATAATTTTTCCTGTGTTTAATTTGCATTTCTGAGATTATTGTGTAGCATCAAATGTTTTGAAGACTTTTCCAATTTTTTTTTTTTACAATAAGTTAACTCTTCTTGGATTAGACTGGTGACTAAGTGCAGATACTCCAACAATGAAAGCTTGTACCAATGTCTGGCAAGACTTCACAAACATTTCAATGAATTACAGTAAACTTCAATGCTAAATCTTTGTAAAAGCAACAGAGTATGAAAGACTGCTAACTGAACTTCAACACCTCACTCTACACAAAGAAAGCCTCTATTTGTTCTAAGTCTTTAAGTTTTAAAACATCAATTGGAAATGTTTTGCAATATAAGTAACTTGGTTGACCCAAAAAGCTCTACCTTGAAGAGTTTACATTCCATTATGATACACGGGAATCTATTCCAAGTACATCAAAGTTACATGAGTTTATTTTGTATTACAAAAATCAACTTTGGATACGGCCAGGTGTTTTTTTTCATAGACATTGAAATGCAATTACTATCAGACAAAAATGCATATGCTTTAAATGTCCTCTGTTAACCTTAGCTTACAATATCAACACCAAATATATATTATATATAAAGCATATCCAATTTTATGAAACAGACTTTTAACTGTGCACACAATCATATAATTCTCAATACTAACAAAGAAGCTAGACTATCCTTATAGTAAGCAAAATAGACTGTCTTTGGTGTTGCATCTTTAAGTGTACCTGTGTTTTGCTAATTAACAAAACAACAGGATTGCTTGTTAGTTTGTCTCTTCTTCCTCGTATAGTTAGATTTCCTATGCTAACACATCATAGGGGTCTATTCACATAGCTGCCGAGGGCAGCCGAGTGAATGACAGATCAGAAGTGAAGTGAGCCGAACACTGTTCGGCTATTCACTTCAGGCTGGTACGGCTGATTTCAGCCGTATATCGGCTGAAATCAGCCGTACATCGGCTTGCTTCGTGTGGCTTCGGATCAGCCGAACATGCTCAGCATGTTCGGCTGACCCGAAGTGCAGAAGGAGTTCGACTCAGCCGATCCAACATCTGGATCGGCTGAGCCGAACCTCTGACAGGCTTCACACTGCTGTTTGGGCTATTCTGAAAGATCCCGAACAGCAGTGAGAGAATAGCCGAATGCCGCCGAGCGGCATTTGGCTCGGCTGTTCTGCTCGGTCCCTCAGAGGCACCGAGCAGAACAGAAAAAGAGTGAAGAAAGTAGAAAAAAGTACATAGAAAACGATTGTGCAGAGCTAGCAGTGACAGCTAGCTCCGCCCAATAGTTTCCTATTGTCCGGCGGCTCTGCTGCTGTAAAAAAAAAAAAAAGTTAAAAAAATTTAAAAACTCTCCCTGGCGCCCCGGGAGATTCAAACATCACACATATAATATCGATAAAATCATCAAGCAATAATAAACACTTACCAATAATAGTATACTGACAATAACTGATATACACAAGAATAAATATAAGTTGAAAAAACCTAAAACTTTGGGACCTTTATGAAGTATATTATCAGTACAACATGAAATAAACATGTTGCTTCGTCCTGCAAGAGCAATGCACAGATTCGCCTAAGGGCCCATTCACAGGAGCTGCTGCTCTACATCACACAGTAGCTGGTATGTAATGTGTGGCTCAGTGCTAATGTGCTGATCCCGTCACATCCCACTGTGTACTTTTTTTTAGAACTTTATTGAAATGTCACAAGTGACACAATGTCACAGCGTGTGAAGCAGTTGTACCGTGTTGCATCCCGCTGTGTTGAAAAAAAGTACTGTATGCAGCAGGAACATGCAGTACTTTTTTTCAGTGCACACCACCGTGTTTCACCACAATGTGGTGCTGTGAACGGAGTCAATCTGTGACATAGCAAGCTTGTCTTGCATTGGGGTTGCACTGGAAAAATGTCTAGCGCTGCCCCAACACATCTGATGTGAATTCACCCTAAAGGTGACTATACAGTACATGTAAGATTGATTTGGCCAAATTTTACAAAAGTTTTTTCTCAGTTTTCTAGCTTAAATTATGTTGTGCATCATTTAACCCAGAAGACTGAGAACATGTTAATATAGTGAAGAGGTACTGTGGGGGACAGTGCCAACGAGGAGGAGTACTTCAGCTGAGGTTGCATTTTTTGTTTCTATACAGGCAGGAGAACCAAAACTTTTTTTTATTAGTTTCATATTGTACCTTTTATTGTATATTGTACCTTTACCTATAGCGTTGTGCAGAACATGCCAACATTGTTTAAATGAATACAATCTAAATATACCTGTGTGGCTAGTTTTATACTTGTGGCGCTGAGTCAAAAGATAATTTGTGATACAACCTTTGCTTCACTTATGAGATGTAACTGATGAACTGAAGAGCTTCATTTTTGTGCACATAAAACAGCTAATGAGCTTACTGAATATAGCAGGTCAAAGACTGATGATACACAAGGTGCAATAACCCTTACCAACAAACCAAATTTCAGTCACTCAGTCAGTCAGTCCAATCAGAAAAGGATGAATTCTGATAGGATTTTATCGGTTGGTGCCCTTTGCTCTTTGCCTTAGTAAATTAGTCCAGAATTGATTTATTCCAGTGTATAGTTCATATCCAGCAAAAATCTATTCCAAATGATCCTTTCACTGCTAGAACATACAGAGCCAGAACTATAGGAAAATAAGCATTTTAAAATACTATCAGTAGTAAAATCTGGAAGTGTCCTGCGAAAACTCAGACATGCCGCACTAAATGGGCGCCTGCGATTATTTAGATTTATGACGTACAAGCTGAACCCTGGTTAATCACACACCTGAGATATAACATGGAGAGAGCACAAAAACAACTTTAGAACACCAATCACATACTATTCATTAATCTAACTGCTAATTAAACATAATGACTTGTAAGCCAAAGACAGCAGCTTGCCAACATGCAAAATGTAAATTATATAAGCTGGCTTGGTCCAGAATACATGGCCAAGATCATTCTTACCTCCATTGGTTGGACAGTTAATGTGTTTGTGGTTTTTGCCTTTCAGCGCTGAACAGGGAGGAGTTGTGAAGAAAATACTTTCAGCCTTTAGATGGCCTTTAGATCTGGCTGGCTGCACTGTAACTTTGTATTTGCAGGAAAACATTAATGCTGGTAGTATTATGTGGTGGTCCTGTATAAAAAAAAAAGGTAGGGATAGTAAAAAGGTACCAGATGAAAATACTGATAATAAACTGCATGTTATGAACTTTCCCTAAACAATATTTTATTTACCGGCAATGTGTCTTTGAACTTGCAAGCACATTTGGCTTCTTCATTAAGAGTCAACTACCTATAACAGCCACTTCCCTCCTTGCACATCATAGCCCTCACCTCTCCTGGGAATGTCTAATTACTGTCTATGCTGGCCCAACTCCTCTGCCCTTTCTTTCACCTCCTACATAAAGTTGTATGTAGCTACGAGAAATACTAGAGTATCACTAATTGAAAGCTCTGAGTCTGCTGGGGCTGATAACCGTCACATCAATGATGGTTTTGTCCAGCAGCAGTCTCAGAGCTTTAGGATGTTTACACAAGAGAGGCTTTGCAGGTTAATAACACATACAATAAATAAAATGCACACATAACCTTATGGCAAGACAGTTTTTGAAATGAATGGTCAGATTACAGAGTCTTTTTAAATCAGAGACTGTAGCTGAGCACAACACTATTCAATGAATAAGGCAAACTAAGTAAAAATACTTCTAATTTATTAGGCTACATTTAACTAAATCAATACTCTGAAATCAAGATCTGCTCCAGATTAGGAAGAATTGCAGAATATAATTTGTTCTGCTCTTTTTTTTTTGTTTGTTATATAAAGTGTGTCCTGGTGGCTGACAATTACCAGCTGGGCATGCCACATGCTCCAGGTAGCTATACTGGAGCATCTGGTGTATACTATCGATTTCAGTGTGCTAAACGATTTCTCTATCCATCAGTGTGGATGGAGGAATCTCCACCTGCTAGCTATTGTATTGAGACAGCTGGCACCCTCAGCGGTTTTATCATCTGAACAGTGACTTCATCTGATTGGATTTGTCTGACAATTGTACACTTTTCAGAAGACTTTTGTCGAGCTATTGACCAGTTATAGGGTGACAAAACTCTGACCCTACCCTCCAATTGTTCTCTTGCATTGTTACCATGTCACACGGGCTGATGATAGGGACAACAAGTGGGCACTTCAACACAGGCATGTTCCACCACCCACCCTGAGAAATGCCATATAGCTACACCAGGAGTTAGCAGTGTTAATACGAAAAGGATGAAAAGCTTGTGAAAACAATACATTTTTTTTACATTTGTTAATGATACATGCTTTAGAAAAATAAAAGTCATTCAGCTAAGGTTTACATCTACTTAAAAGAATAAAGTGAAGTTGCTTTTACTTCAATCATTGAGTCATGTTCACAGAAAAATGTGTTTTTGTTTTTCTCTTTTAATCCTCCTGCACATGATTGGATGTTTGTAATAAAAACCGCTACACTTTATTAAATAATTTAATTGAACATCCACTTTGCTAACATTCAGTACTGATTTAGTATATTATCCCTACTGCAGCGGTGCTATGCCAGTGAAAGGTGGACATCAAGTTGGCCTTGTACACAGGCAAGCTAAATGTACACAAGTTGCCACTGTTCATATAAACTACACATCAATAATTTGATCAAGGAAGGGGTGCTTAAATGTAGATGTAATGTAGTGGATGTTGCCGTCTGCATTCTATAAGAGCACTCCTGTGTTTTATGCAGAAATCAATGGAAATCCTTGCAGCTGGAATTCTGTCTATTGGATGGCATTTACAAACGCAAGTCTACTGCCCCTTTTGGATTTTTTTATGCATACACTCTTAGAAGCAGTTTTCTGAGGATATTAAAATTCCCTTTAATATATAATTACAAAATTTGCAGTAAGTTTTCGGTCTATTTTCAAGCAAGCCATACATGTTTATAAAACTCCACAATGGAGATGTTGTCATTACACTAATGTTAAGTATAGACCAAAGGGCCTAATAACCAAAGGGCCCTGGTGCAAGATTTTATCTTGGGCCCCCCTCCCAAGACGGGGGGGGGGGCGGGAGCGGATCACACTGCCCCCCCCCCAGCGGTCTCTAATGTTGCAGTAGCGTGCTGGACTTACCTGAGACCCTGCAGAGCATACCATAGATCCTGCATAGTCCACCTCCACCTGAGACTCTCTATGGTGGGCTCTGCAGGGTCCCAGGTGGGCTGGTCAGTTGTAACGGGCCGTTCCCGGGAAGGACAGGTGTTGCGTGTGATTGTACGCAGCAGCCTGTTCTTCTCTATGGGAGGATGCGGCCTACTTTGCCCTACGCTCACCCACCCTGCACGTCCATGAATGTGTCCATACTCGTACACAGACAGGTGTCCGAGCACGGACACCCGCATGGATGTGCAGTTCGGGTGTGCATACGGCCGCATCCTCCCATAGAGAACAGGCTGCTGCGTACAATCACACGCAACACCTGTGCTTCCCGGGAACGGCCCGTTACGACTGTGCATGCCGCATGGATCTATATGGGCTGACACTTAGCTGTGTGAATGAGGCCTTAGTGTTGCAGGGAAGCAAGGGTCTGAGGTGGGCTGTAAAGGATCTCTGGTTGGCTCTGCAGGGTCTCAGGCAGAGACTGCCAAAGACCCCCCACATCCCACCGTAGACCTTGCACAGCACTCCTGAGTCCCTGAAAACCCCACCATAGACCTTGCAAGAGACTCTCAAGTGGGCTGTGCAGGATCTATTATGGGCTGCACAAGGTCCCTTTCCCTGCACACATGCACACATGCTGCTCCTCTTACCTGCAGCTCCCCAGCCTGCTTCCAGGATATACCTCTTCGTCCGGCCGCTGAAGCTTCTTCCTCCAGCCACCCGCAGCCTCAGCTGGCCGGGACGCCTCTCTCACGGTCCCATCAGCAGTCTTCCTCCATGCTAGACCCGGCGGCACAATGGCTTCCTGAACCTGCCTGCAGACTCCGGCGGCCGGGCCGCGTCTCCCTCGGCCACGCCTCCCTCGGTCCCAGCCACGCCTCCTCTGTCACCTGGCAGCTCGCGGCCAGTCCCTACTAGAAGCCACACACCTCCTGTGACTCACCTCCCCTCACGGCGCCTGTTACTATGGACGCGGCCGGGAGGGGAGGTGAGTCACAGGACCCGCCCCTCACTGAGAAGCTTGTGGGCAGTGCGGGGCCCTGGTGTTCGAACATCGGGACCGTTCACTGCCCCATATTTCAGGACCAGACCCCACTGAGGCTATAGGGGTGCCCAGGACCGGACCCCTCTGGGCCCTCCCACAGCCTCAGGCCCCGGTGCCCTGGCACCGGCTGTATTCCGCCACTGTATAGACTGAATAATGACTGAGCTTGAAAAATGTTTTAATAGATTTCATGGTTGAGGCAAACAGCTGTGCTGTCCATATCAACTGATCCCTGAAATTGATTGCTTTAGGTAACAATTTTACTTTCACTTGCTGTAGTTGCTGTGCACTGATTAATAAGGTATGAGTCACCAAATGTTTGTACTTTTCTTATATATGGCCGGTTGCTCCCTACATCACCTTTATTATTGAAACAAAGCACTATAATCTCGATTTTTCTTGGGGCAACAAATGGCAATTAGCCAAACAGAACTCCCCTAAGGAGGTTTTATGTTTGTTACTATGATTTTTAGTAGGATTACTAAGATTTTGCTAAAGGTTTCAATCATCCCCAACCCTATGGGACTTTATTTTGCAAAACGAGCCACTCATAGTATACATAGTACTCCTAGTATGAGTAAACCCAACCACTAAAACCCCCATAAGCTTTACATGCTAATGTAATTTCAAAATTAATGTCATTGTTTTTAAATCTGCAGTGTTAATAACACCTGGTAATTTTGTCATTAAGCACTCCCTGCTAAATTATTACAATGGTTTGTCCCTGTCTTACAATAGTGCTGCTGAGTTGTCACCGCCACTACAAGTGGCTGTTACAGAGGCAGTATATTATCATTTTTTATGACACACAATGCTTAAGCAAACTAAATGTCATTCAGTTAGCGTTTATATCTACTTTAAGTCAGAATAGGAAGTTCCTGCTGTAGCAACAGCAGAAACAAAGGTTAAGATTACAAACATCTTTCTATCCATAGCTGGCTTAAATAACACTGAATTGATTACATTTATTCCAACATTTATTTAATTTTAAATGTAATTCAAAGTACCCCGACTACCATATCCTTGTTATGTGATTAAGAACCTGTTATGAAGTGGTTTCAGTATGTACAATTCTGGCACTTTGACTGGACTTGTATTGTTTGTGCAGTCTAAGTATTTACTTTGCATTAATATATCATACTATAGGGCTGTTTACACTGTGGGTGGCTACTAAAATGATCTCCAAAGGCTGGCAGCTTTAGCTGTGTGTTGTGAATCACTTGGACTGCACTGCATCAAAGTAACTTGTAACAGAATGCAAAATTCCCATGACGTGAAAAGAGCTGGTCTGTAGCACATTGTAAATGTAAATGTTCATCCAAGCAAAACAACTGGGGTATTAGAATAAGCATAAGAGGCCAGCTTAGAATACACTAGCAATGCCTCTACAATGCTATGTAAATAAGGGAGTGTTATTTATCACTATTTTCATATTTGGTAAGTTGTAAGACAGCATTTCTGTATACTCTAATGTTTCATGGCAGATCAATATAATAATAACCTTTGTAAACAGTGTTCATGACATAACTTATTGTGCACAGTATTTTTTGAGCCCCCCTATTTAAATAGTCTCTTATTCTAACTCTGTGGGTGGGCAGATAGATAGATAGATAGATAGATAGGTTGATAGTACAGCCATGAAGGTTAGGGTTAGAAGGGTTTAAAGGAACCAACAGAGCCAGAAAGCTAACGGACCTTCACTTCAGTGCAAATGGGAGAAGCATTCTGTATGTCTCAGTGCTGGTCAGGCAGTATATGGAAGAGGTGCTAGCTGCACAGCCCCACTTAGATGTTACAAACCAGGGTACTGTTATGGCATAATAAAGACTGCTTCCAGGTTTTAACCTGCACTGAAAGTGAGCAATGTTCAGGTCTATATGCATTTTCAGAAATTGGAAGATATTGTGTTTTATTAGCATGATGACAAACACTTGACAGAGCAGCAGCTGGCAGACCTCTTTAAAAGGTTGTCCTCAAAGTAGAAAAAAAAACAAAGAAGGAAGCACAGTGTAACCCTTTAAATTATAATAATTTAAGACAGGATGTTGAGATTTTTGTATAAGTTCAATCATGGCTAGCTCTCATTAAAGTTTTGCTTTGTTATCTATAGCAAACACTACTTATTACTTACTTGAGTTATTGCTTTCTCTGGTCCTTTGGTTTCATTATGTGTACACGATTCAGGATGCCATTGTACATGGTAAAGCCCCATAAGAGGATCTAAATAAAATAAGAAAAACAAATTGACACATGAAAAGGGTTTATTTTACATTTTTATGGAGTTTGACTTTTCCTGCTGGATTACAAAATATGCATTGGCTTTTTTTATTATTCTGTAGAAATTATGGAAGTGTTAGAACCTCATTTAAGTTTTTATGGCTGTTTGTTTTGTTACATTTACACTAGTTTCCTGTTTCACTAAAAGGGTGTTACAAGGACAGGGAGTGATAGGAAAGCAGATTTATTTAGTAGAGTAGGTAGGGGGTTAGAATATCTGTTAAGTTTTCATTGTTCTTTGTCTTTCTTTCCTGGTAACACTTTCTTATTTTTTTGCCCTAGTATCACAGGGACAGGAAGTTTCCACAGTGAGAACATAGGCAGCATTAAAAAAAACTTGACAGAAGTTATTACTTTAAACAACTGTATTGAAAACTTAATGTTTTGGATAAAGTTAATCTTTAAGTGGGATTAAAAACTTCCACTTGAGCCGGACTGGGTGTGTGAACTGAAGTCTGTGCTATTTTTGAGAGTGAAAACCCCCATTTATTTGTCAGCATCCAATGCTCACATGTGTTGTAGCTAAGTGAATTGTGGAAACCAACTCAGTTCATCACTCACACACTACAAGTTTTTTAGACACAGCTCCTTATGTGGAATTATGCTTTTTGTTGGCCACACACAATTACCAATGAAACATTGTTGATAAGAACACACAGATAAGAACACACAAAGCACAAACATATCACAAAAAGATCAATTTAGAGATCCCATAGTGGAAATGGGATTGGCATGGACATATGCTATTTATATGCTATTATTTTTGGATGTAATCCTCAAAGTAGTTGAAGAAAATATGAGCACAAACTTAGACTGAAAAGGGAAGTGATGGAGGAAACATAGAGAAATATAGAGAGATAACCCTGCTGGACAAGAATAGGAGCAGATGGCAACCATTTGTAGATTCACCGTGTTCCTTGAAAAAATGACTTTGCATGTGTGTGTGTAAAACCCCAAGTAAGCATATACCACACATAATATACTCCATCAACCACATTTCATAGTAAAAGGAGCCTACATGTACTAAAATTGGAAACAGACCAGACATATACAACTAATTAAAGAAACATATTCATAAATCCGTTAACCTGAGACTACACTGAAAATCTAATGCACTCATCACACATCTTATTAGTTGAAAAGAAATGTACAAAGGCAGGACATTTACTGCCAAGCTGTATATTTTAAATCAGCTTTAAATTAAATATTTAACAACTTGGTACTTTGATTTAAATTAATCCTGCAGTGTGTAAATCAATCACAGATATAAAAGTTTGACAATTGTTAGTAATGTAATACGGCTTTGAAGTGTTCACAGGTTTGGTCCATATGGGAATGTACCAGAGGTCTTGAGGCTTGACTGTCTTGTCTGCTAAGGAAATCTTTACAATGTAGTTATTCAGATAGCTAAAGTCTAGGTTTTCCTACTATATACACTTTTCAAAAGGAGATGCCTGATCACTATGACTTCAAGGTCAACACCCCAAAGTCATATCTCTGTTTTGGCAGGGCACACATTGCTTCAGTCCCCACCTGCTTCTTATAACTCTCTGTGAGCCCACAGAAAAAAAATTGGCTCTGTCATCACAGTTGTACTCATCTGACACGGCTTAAAGCCAAGTAATGGTGCTGTGCTATGTCTGCTAGAATCTCTGGTGACACCCTGGGATAAGGTTCATTAATGGTACATTCAAGGGCATGGGGAAAGAAGTTGCAAGAAAAAAATATTGAACTGGTGGTTTTCATGAGAAATTTTTTATTTGGAAATGTATGAAGTATATGTAAATCCTAAACCCAGTCAAACCTGTTTTTTTGATAGAGTAAGGAATGGCTATAACCCCTGTTATATTTGTATTGCCCTCTCTATTCCAGTTGGGAAGATTTTACCTCACTTTCTATCCTGGTCACCAAACAGGAAGTGAGATCACAGAAATAAAAAGCTTACAGAGGTCCTAAACCATCCTCAAACACCCTTAAAACATATATTCTTACTGACTGTGCAACAGAGAAATCGTATCACTTTCTGAGAACCTTGAGTGAGAATCTCCTCAGTTGGCAAAAAAAGCAGAAAAAAAAATGAAATGAGGTTCTAAGCCTTTCCCATTTTGTCAAAAACAAAAAAAAGGTTTAGTTGTAGTTGAGCTTTTAAATTCCCCTGCACACCACAGAATTAGGTATTCCATATTAACATAGCTTCATTGTATTTACTAAGCTAAAAGTACATTATCTACCATTGTTTTTATTATGGTAATAGATCACGTTCAGGTCCATTTAAGGATGAGGATGACCAGAGTCAGATAAATTAATTGACCATTGTTAGAATAAGTATCTTGTAACAATAATGTCTAGAGTTGGTAAATTAACAATTTATTTGTTACGTTTTAATTCCACTCAATTCCAGTATAGCACAAATACATTTAAGAGCTAGAACAAGCTTTCAAGCAACCTATGAAATGGTTTCACAGTCTACTTTGCATGGCAGTATCATGCCTAACAAAGTCTTATCTATCTGTCTCTTACATACTCTTTACATGAGCAAAACATGTTCCTGGTGACTTTTAGATGACCATAGGGTCATGTGACAATGTGTATTATACCTTTAAAAGTAAATTCCTGTCTGAGCAGTCTCAGATGCAAGTGGCCATTTTCCAACCGCTGGCCACATAGCAGTTCTTGGACAGAGAAGAACCTATTCAGATTTGCTGTAAATCACATGACCATCAAATAACTAGGACAGAAGGACCAGAAGGCAGAAGGCCACAGAAGTTGAAGGCTTCTTGGACAGATACTTAACCTAATGCCCAATTTGTACAATACAGATAAACCACAAATGGGCGTGAGATGAACCTAACCATCCTTGGATGTAAACTATATTTAAGCTTAGGTAGCTTAGAGCAACCTGGGCAGAATCTCTACATTCAATATTAGCATTTTGTGAGTTCTACTCGCATTTCCATAGCATGTTGTCATAAAACTTTTTTTAAACTTATAAATATAGTCACATGTATATATTTTATATATTATGTGGACAGATAAAGTTGATTCATACTAAAACATTCAGACTTTGTGCAGATGTTATGCCACCCTTTTTGCTCTGTTAGATATTTGCACTTGGGCTTTAACACCTGTACACTTTAAGAATTATGCTCCAATGCCTTGATATGACCATTGTCTTTAACCATTGCTTCTTGCTTTGCTTAATGGAACATAAAACATCTGCAGCCACAAAAACAAGCCAGCAACATACAAACTGAAGTATGGTTAAATGGGTTAAACAACTGCAAATCAACTGTATGAGCAAATTACTGCAGGTTCAATACTGCAATACCTAAAATTAAACTTTGCACGGAAGGCAATACAGCTAAAGAGAAAATGCAACCTGCAAAAGCGACGTTTAGGAGATATTATAATTCTATGTCTAAGGCTAGCTACTGATAAGAAAAATATGATTCACGTACTCTACAAGTACATGGTCATACATAACCAAAAAGCTGTTTCAATACATGGCTGCATAGCAGGATTTTATTCTGAACAGATAAATGTTATTTTTTTTTTACTATTCACCTTTTTAAATGTCAGTGCTGTTCAGGGAGATAGACAGAGGTATTTCAACAACATATGTATATGACTGCACTACAGGAAGCCTAGTCTAGTTTAATTCTTTACGAATGAGTAAAAGAAAATAGTAATAGATTGTATACAGGAATGTCTAGATAGAAAGAAATATGGAAAATAAATATGCAAAATGAATCCAGTCAAAGTGATGTTTAAAGAAAAATACTTTCCTATTAAATCTGAACACAACAGTTACCTATGAAATATTCCTGCTCAGAGGAGTCGATGTTAAAAAAATTAGAATACTCTAAATGGTAAATCTATGATTTCTAACCTTATTCATTTTGTGTCTTCCTATCTGGTACACGTTTTTCAAACAGTACACAAAACATTGGATTTGACTTTCAAAAGATTCATTTCGAAGACAGGATTTGCATTTTAAAAATACAGTCAATCGGTGTCATTATTTGCTTAGTAAATGATGATTACACTTGAACTTCAAAGTAACATATTAGAAATCATGCACATTTTAAGAATTAAAACTTGTCAATGTGAAATTCTTGTGTAGGTTAATTTGAATAGCCCATTAAAAGATAAAACCTTCAGTCCAGAGAGTCCATGACTGAACTGTGAAATGGAAAGCAACACAGTGTGAGCTCATCTCTCTGTCACTTTGTTGTATCATGCTATCAGAATGCTTCTTATCACCAGACGGACTGCTTGGCTCCTTGTACTGCTTCTTCTTACTTACACTGCATTAAAACATTTAATTATGGTGATTCTTAAAATCAAAATGTTTTTAAGCTATTTCAAATGCTGATTAACTCACTTACAATGGACGCTGTCCTTGATTTTTATGCATTTTAGCTTACTGAAGAATCATCTTGTTGCCTGAGTTCTGGCCTGATATCCTGTTTCCCTTGCAGGGTACTGAGGAGTCACCCTTGTGCGTGCTAGTAAGCTGTGTGTGTTCCCACAAACACAGCAAGGCAAGTCAGTCATTCTCCCCTTCCCTCCATCCCTCTTCCCTTCTCCAGGCTAGTAGATTTAGAGCTGCTGGAGAATGTGCTGTCCTTTGTGATTTTTTTACTGTATAGGAAGTACAGGGAAACAGAGCTAAAAGAGTCAGAGCCAGCTGTTCTGAAACGTTATCCAATCTAACATAAATGTTTTAGCTTTTCATAAGACACGCTAATCTTTCTAGTTGCTAATTGCAATGTCTTACAATCACTGTGGTCAGTACATGAAGGCACAATATTGCTACTTAGCACTACTTATGAAACCATATCATGTTGGTTTCAGGGGGTAAAATGTGATCTCTATCAAAGTCAATCAGACCTTATATGTGTAAGATGTCAAAACACCAAAAAAAGAAGGCATATTTATTT